CACCTCCACCCCCACCTCCACCGCCTCCTCCGCCCCCACCCCCACCACCTCCCCAGCAGCCCCCAGTACCGGCCCAGTTCCCACCTCCTCCACCGGCACCACCCAAATCCTTTACCCCAGGATTTGCTCCTCAGACTGCCCCCAAACCTGTGTCACCTGTCTCTCCTTTCCCACCTGCCCCACCACCAGCCACCACGGGTGGACTGCCACCCGCGCCACCCCCTCCTCCGCCTGCGCCCCTCAAGAAGCAATTCAGTCTCCAAACAGGCTCCACCTACCACCAGCCTCCACCGACTCTTCCCAAGCAGCACAGTCTGTCAAAGCCCCCGCCTATTTCCACAGGAACGCCCCCCGTGTCGTCTTTGGTGAAACAGCTCGCAAGTCAGTTTCCAGGGGCTTCAACCCAAGTAGCCAATCACACGGAGAACCCCAAAGTTCCCCTCTCCCCACCCGCAGTCAAGTCCAAACCAAAATGGCAGCCTGCTGGCAGTCAACAGGTACAGTCTTCAGAGTTCCCACCCCCTCCGGACAGTGTTCAAGTCAACAGGACTGGTTTTCCTGCCCCACCACTAGCGCCACCGGCTCCGTCGCCCCCTGCCTCTTGTCCAACTCCACCACCCCCGCCCCTTCCCCCTGGAAATATGGGGTCACCTGTGAGGACGTCGCCCTCCATCCTAGTAGGTAAAAAACCTCCTCCGGCCCCCCAGAGGAACTCCAGCATCAAGTCCAACTCTACTGCGTCCTATGAAGAATCCAGGAGGAACCTTCTCAGTAAATTTGCCCCGGAGATTAACACCCCTTCATCCTCCCAATCCCCCACCACTGCCTCAACTTGGTCTCCGTCAAAGGATCCCTCAGCGGGACCCCGTGCACCCCCAAAACCCGGTAAGCTGAACCTGGCCAACCTGCCCTTGGGTCTTCAGGCCAAAGTCAGCCAGGCGAAGCAATCCGGCGGCGACTTCCCCTCCCCGCCAGCCGAGTGTGGCTACTTCCCTCCTCCGCCGCCACCGTCTGAGCTATTCCCGCCTCCACCTCCTCCTGGGAACGATTCTCATAGTAATGGACCTCCAAGAGTAGCTGTGGTGAACCCCCAGCCTCAAGCTCCTCCTCCTCCTCCTCCTCCTCCCCCACCAGTCTCTATTATTAACAACTCCACTTGGGGAAAGAGCTCCCTGAAAAAGACTCCTCCACCGACACTTGTGCGCCGTAACAACACTACGCCAGAACCGCCACCACTCTCGCCACCACCACAGCTACCTCCACCCACCTCACCAAAGGGCAGCTCAGGCCAGCCCAACTTCCTTGCGGATCTGAACCAGACGCTCAAGCGAAAGTCTGTGGGTAAGCAAGGCAAAATGGACCCTGCTGGGACTATGGATGACATGACATTGCCGCCGCCTCCCCCTGAGCTGCTCCTTGAAGAGGGAAAGCAAAGCAATGGAGGAAATGATGGCTACTTGTCCGGGAACATCTCAGGCTATGCAACACTACGACGAGGACCCCCACCTGCCCCACCAAAACGGGGGGATGCCACCAAGCTTACTGGGTAGTGGTGAAAAAAAAAAGTTTTGGAATGACACACTATTGCTCTACCTGTTTGGGAGCACAATAACAAATTGCTGTTGTACTGTACATACCAAAAGCTAATTGATCAGCGAGGGTTCACGTTTTTCAAATTCTCAGGATTTTCAACATTGACTCTCTTAGCATGTAGCTTCGATCCTACTGCCAAGTAAAACATGAAGTATTAACTCTCCCAAACTCATAATGATAAATCTTGTGCATTAAGCATTTGAAGTAAATTACAAATTAATTTAGGAAATAAGACTAGATTCATGTTGGACCCAAACCAAGTACCATTTTCTGTTCCTGCATATTGGAAAGGAAAAAACGGACCTTGTTCAGGTTGTAAATGCTAGTGCATGTGTATGATTGCTGCGTGGGACTCATACGAACATGCATTGAGCACATGCATGTACATGAGTAAGAGGCCTATGCAGAATCGGGCATGTTTGCTTTTGTGTGAAATTATTTAAATGATCAATTGAAGTGTTTTTATATTAAGATCAATAAAGATCTGGTCAGATGTGATTATGGAATGTACATTGGAAGTGAGACATGAATGGCTCACATCCACACAATGTCCATAATGGAGAGCGTAAAATCTGCAAAAACTTTGTGCTGTCTTTATAAATGGTCGTATCCCGTGACAAAAGCAAAGAAGGAGGCCTTATTCTTTAAGTCTTGCACACTGTGGGGAGGTGGGAGATTGAACGCTCTGCAGACTTGGGGGAAAATACTCATGCAAAAATTTTCCATGGACCTCTCAAGGCAATTGGAAGGAAATTGTTGCGGAGTGCCCCCCCCCCATATTATTTTTTTCTTTTTTTTAGTCCATTTGTACAGTTGCTGCAGCTGCTGCTTCCTTGCTGTCCCCCCTGCCCCCAATCCATCCGCCATGTCACATCGCAACAATCCAGGAAGTAGGCTGGATTCGTCCACATGAAGGATACTCCACAGGATACTGTACAGTACATCAAGTACATCATCAATGGAAACATTAAATTCATGTGAGGGTCACATAAGACTTGAATGTTGCTCTCGGATTAGTGGGTCTGTTGTATCTGGATTCTTTGTGGTGCCATGAAAGTCTTCAGCCTAACTGCTTGCAGCAATGCCTTCATTTTCATTGGGGTGCTTGCGCTGTCCCAACATTTTAACATGTGTCAGGATGACATTTATATGTCCATCACTAGTAAAGATGAAGGAGATTGGCTTTTATTTAAGAGGGATGATAAAGACCAGTGGAAACTGTTAAACTCACATGGTCAAGCCTAAAAGAAGAAGATCCTCGTGAAATGGGTTCAACGTGCTACTCTTTTATTCTAACCAACATGGTTGTGGCGTATTTCTTTTTTTTTTTTAATCTATCCTTAACAGGATATTTGCTACAGTTCTGTGTGTAAGTTATTGATGTGCTCATGTGGGGCCTAAATGGTTGCAAATTGATTAAATGTGTCCTTCCTTATAAACCGAAATTCACAATATAAATGTTCGAACCAGAATTTGTCCTGAGTTATTTATTCAGCCCGTAGTATAGGTTTCCTCATTTTTGTGATTATGTCATAATTCTTATGGCCTAGAACAGGGGTCCCCAACCGCCGGACCGGTACCGGGTCGTGGGTCATTTGGTGCCGGGCCGCACAGAAAGAATAAATAACTTACGTTCCTTCCATTTTATTCATTTCGGAATCTGAAACATTTTTTTATTTTGAAAAAAATACCGGATTCTCTGTTATATCATCAGTCTGCAGCAGTGGTGCTCAATTATTTTGTCATGCCCCCCTAGGAAGAGGAAAACATCTCGCGCCCCCACACACGACTATAAATAGTATCATTTGTCTATAAAATTGTTATAAGTACACCTTTGCATAACACTGTATCCTTATTAACGTATGAGAATAAAAAAGAAATATGGACCAACTTACAACAAAGAATAGCTTTAGTAACTGTAACAGACAAGATTTAAAGTGCATCTGAAATTCAAAAATAAAATAAAATCCTTAATTTAACTATAAATATTTTTTGACTGACCATGTCAAACAATACGATACTGAACAATAAAATTACATATAATCAATAACTAATAATGAATTCAAACTAATCAACATTATCTCAGAGCACAATATTAAAAAAACACTTTAACCAGCAAAACAAATATATATAAAATAATACGGCACATTCGTGTGTCCTGAGAGATCAAAAGCTGTGTGATAGCAGAGTGCTACTACGCAGGAGTCGTATCACGTCCGGCTATTTCCGGAATCAACAACCCAATATATTGCTATAATGACGAGGGAATAAATACACACAGCCTGCCTCTAAGACAGTGTGAATGAAGAACTTTTAAGTCAAAGAATCAAAGGAACACGATGCAGCCCCCAGATATGACATTTGAAAAAAAAAACGATTTTTGTCCGCACGAACTCCTAATTTATGCACACCAAATACTGAAGTGTGCACACAAACTACTTATTTGTGCATTGTAAGGTGTATTTGCTCAAAACAATAGAGTGTATCAGTTTGAATATTAAATATGTTGCTTTTGTAACGTAATCACAAAGTAAGATTGATCATGATTTGCAAATCATTGTATTCTTTTATTGATGTTTGACAAAAAGACTGCTTGGACCCATTCATCCCATTCGCAACGCCTCCTGTGCCCCCTGAACTCTTGAAACTCTTCTCAACTTTTGTCCAGCATTATTGATTGTGCCAATTCAACTTACGCTAACCATGACAGGAGAACATTTGCAAATGTGGTAGAACTTCACTTTGCACAAAGTATTTTCCAACAGTTCCTGATGTATGGTTGCTTTTGTTTTTTACTTCCGAGGTCACGGGAGGAAGCTTCATTCAACACCATCAGTCTGAATTTCCTTCAGGGTTGAATGTTTATGTACAATTCCAGTGAAAAGTCATTTCCATCCATACAAACCATTGTCAGTTGACCTGAAAGTATTCAGTCCAACAGTATACAGCGCACTGAAAAATTATTTGGTCCTCCTTTGATTCATTCCGCATTTGTTATGGTGCAAACAGGGTCTGAAGTTTCCAATACAAGTTTCCTCGGTTTGAAGTGCTCCCAACATATGTGGTTTTGAGGTTTCGGAAGTGAGATTTATGTCTAATAGGTCTTCTTTTTAAATATTTACTTTAATTATAAGTTTACTCTTGCATTGAGTTAAGTCGTCACCGTAGGGATGAAACTGTGGTAAATAGGAATAATACAAATAACAAATGTTGGAACACAAGGCTTTCGGAATGTCCCGTAAATGTCCCCAAGTGCAACGTTTCAAAGGCTCCAGTCGCAAATTGCATCTATACAGTCCAAAACATGCAGTCCTTTTCATCGTTCAAGCGTCCCCATCAGCACTTCCAAAACGGCCAGCAGAGACACTTCAAACTCTTGATCTGAGAAGCGAGCCACTGACTGGCGAGCATTGCGTCGTATCTGCAGGCGAGTAGAGGGCGCCAGACTTAGGATCTCCTCGATGGCCTCAGCATAGCTGTCCTCGTCACCGGCAAGGAAACCCGTCTGGCCTCCCTCGAAAGGCACCACGATGTCAAGCTTGGGACCACCGGACTTGTGGGCAAGGATCACTTTGCCTGCCGCCATGCACTCCACAACACCTGAAAGCGGGGGAGGGACGACACAGTGGTCAACACATTTCACAAACAAAGAGGTCAGTGATGCTCATTTACCAATCCCAAAGTGCTCATTCCACATGGTGTGCAGTCCAATAGTGGCCCCGCCCAACTCTCTTTTTAACTCCGCAAAGGGGATGTTCAATTTAAACTCCACCCTGTCGGCCACACCCAGTTCCTGGCACAGCCCCCGCAGCATCAGTACCCTATCCTCGTCCTCATGATTCCTGCATCCTCCAATCAGGATCAGCTTCAAGGTCTCCCTCCCCACTGCGGCTTCCCTTCGCCGATCCAACACCTTCTTGAAAGCTTTGATCTGCAACTGGTGATCCTTCTCAGGCCGGAACTGCCCGATAGAGATGATCGAGTGGCATTTTTGCTCCTCATCCTCCTCTAGAGGAATGTCCAGGAATGCGCTGACGTCGCAGGGTGGGTAGACCACGCTGGTGCGGTTAGACGCCTGCCAGAGTGACAGAATGTGCTCAAGTGTCCAGGAGGAGTTCACCATAACGAGGTCACTGCAGGAGCCGGCCATGCCATAGAGTAGACTAAACAGGCAGTAGTAGACGACTTTGACGGCGCTCAGGAACAGACTGTCAGAAATGTAACCTGGGTTGTTGTACCTGAGACGAGAATAGTTCATAATTAGGGTCACCGCTTCATCTGTATTATACAAGTAAAAGCATACCTGGGGTTCCTTTCTCTCACCACCGACAGCATGTCAGTGCTGATGGTGGGGTAGTGGACGTAAGCGCATACGCTGCATCCTCCCAGGAAGCGGAAAAGTGGCAGAGTGAACGCGTATCCCATTGAGTCGATGTAAATGTCAGGGACAAATTCTGTGAGCGCCTCCCATCCCAAGAAGATGGAGCCGATGCTTTGACCGAACAGGGTGAAGTGAGGGAACAGACTGGGCTCTACAAGAAGTCTCAGCCTCAGGAACACAAAGTGAATCGGCCGAGGAAGCACGATGTTGAATCGGCGCCGTGCTCCATCCACAATCTCGTGGGCCGAAACGCCCAGGTCGCCTGTGTAGACCACAATGTCGATATCTGGGTACCTGCGTAGACAGGTGAAACGCACATAGTTGATTTAACTCTCAACTGTTATAGTATTTTATTCTACCACTGATCACTTTAGCTCTGCTTGATATTGTGCACATTGTCTTACAGTTGTCACTGGGTGGTACCACCGCACTTCGGTTCACTTACATTACGGAATGTCCTTCCATACTTATTTGTCATGTCCCTGTTTATTATAATACTAAGGCAGTGTGTTATACTGGAGACAAATTCCTTGTGTGTTCTACATACTTGGCCAATAAAGATGATTCTGATTCTTAATTCAGAAAAATCCGTCAAGCGTACCTTCGCTGCAGAGCCCTGATCGCACACCAGAGCACCCTCTCTCCCCCACCGCCAGCGTTGCAGTAGGGGTGGAAGAAGGCCACTGCCTGACGTCTGGTCCTTGCGTATCGACTGTTCCTTTTCCCTTTCAGCCACAGACGCACTGCCAGCATCAGCAGGACCAACACGGCAATCAGAAGCAGACATACAAACAGCACATGGAAGAGCACCTTCCACAGGAAGCTACAACACAGTAGCCGAACATAAACACTCAGGTAAACAATATGTCTGTCATTGTGGTTGTGGGGTTACAATATACTGCATCACACTAAGAACTGTAATGAATGCGCTGTCACTCTCATGCACAGTGTATGAGTTATCTTAGAAACATTTCAGTCTGTTGCAATATTTTCATACAGCATTGCAAACTGTACGCTTCATTTGGGTTATTTAGATTATGAGTATATGAATGGGGAATATAAAACCCAAGTCTTGGAATGAATACACGTAAGAAAAAAAAACTGCACATAACCTCTCTGCGAACGCAATGTGAATACGATGAACAACTAACAAAACAACCCACGTGTATCTACAGTGCCATCTACAGCACCTCATACATACTTGGCCAATAAAGATGATTCTGATTCTTAATTCAGAAAAATCCGTCAAGCGTACCTTCGCTGCAGAGCCCTGATCGCACACCAGAGCACCCTCTCTCCCCCACCGCCAGCGTTGCAGTAGGGGTGGAAGAAGGCCACTGCCTGACGTCTGGTCCTTGCGTATCGACTGTTCCTTTTCCCTTTCAGCCACAGACGCACTGCCAGCATCAGCAGGACCAACACGGCAATCAGAAGCAGACATACAAACAGCACATGGAAGAGCACCTTCCACAGGAAGCTACAACACAGTAGCCGAACATAAACACTCAGGTAAACAATATGTCTGTCATTGTGGTTGTGGGGTTACAATATACTGCATCACACTAAGAACTGTAATGAATGCGCTGTCACTCTCATGCACAGTGTATGAGTTATCTTAGAAACATTTCAGTCTGTTGCAATATTTTCATACAGCATTGCAAACTGTACGCTTCATTTGGGTTATTTAGATTATGAGTATATGAATGGGGAATATAAAACCCAAGTCTTGGAATGAATACACGTAAGAAAAAAAAACTGCACATAACCTCTCTGCGAACGCAATGTGAATACGATGAACAACTAACAAAACAACCCACGTGTATCTACAGTGCCATCTACAGCACCTCAAGGAGATGCGCAGATACGAGGGTGATTCGTTTTGTGTTTATGGCCTAGAAGACTTGCAAGAAGTGAATTTTCATTTCAAATATTAACTATAATTATGACTACTGGTGCGTTACGTCGTCGCCATGGGAACGCAAACTCCCGTCGTAAAGCGTGGGCTCATGTACACTGGTTAGCTTTTACACTCAAACGAAAATAAAAACAATCCTGCTGCGAGAAAATCTCGGAAATGGAAAAGGTTTATAAAGTCGATTAAGATCTTTTCATGTAAAAAAATGTGTGTAGAGTGTAACCGGCGTACATACATACCACAGACACAGAACGAGTTCGTCGTGCGCCGACATTTTGCCCACAGACACAGACACCAAACTGCACGCGTCATCTTTTCAACTTGTTGTGGCGGCACTTGATTAGCGCCGTCTATAGGTGAGGATGTATAACTACATCACAACTACTGTATAACTGGTGCTGATGAGTGTCAAATTAAAACAAAAGAACTGTCATCTATCCATTATCAGAACTGCTTATCTTCACAAGGGTCGCGGGCTTACTGGAGCCTATCCCAGCGAGTATGTGAGGTAAACCCTGAACTGGTTGCCAGCCAAGCGCAGTAATTTGTCTTCACTATTGAATTGTTTCAGTATTCGACTATTTGTCAGTTTATTTAATTTAATTATTTCAATTTCAGTGTTTCACTATTTCACTAAAATGTTATCTTTATTTATTCAAATGTTGGATGTATTTATTCAATTTTGTGACTCTTCGCAAACCTCACCGTCAAAAGGTAATATAATGTCCAAATTAATTTTTGTTGTTTTCCATATGGTTAAATGTGTTTCCAGAGCAGGATTTTAGCGGTCTGCTCCCTATAGCCCGACGGATTGATCTATGCCCCTCCTCTCTGAAAAAATCCAAAGTTTAACTTCTGAATAAACACTTAAATCAATAACAGCTCCCTACCCTTACAGTTTGAACGAACGTCTGTCATTCGCACTGGTTCCATTATGAAGGCACTTGTGATTTGCTTTCTTTTAATGGGCCACCTCGCCGAGATGGGACATTGCACTGAAACACAGTAAGTTAGATTTTTGTGTGTGTGATGAAGGTAACAGTTATAGCAGAATGTCAATCCAATTATTAGGCCTATGTTTGTTTTCTATTTTCTTTTGTGGGTAGCGACCAAATTCTGTCAATCACACCAACAACACCAGAACAAGTGGGGATTGTGAAGAATATCTCCACTCAATATGAGGTAGAATAGATTCGTCAGTTACAGTCCCCTCCAAAAGTATTTTAACGAGAAGGTCAATTCCTTTGTTTTTGTAAACATTTGGATTTGAGATCAAAAGGTGAATGTGAGAAAAAAGTTAATTTCAGCTTTTATTTCATGGCATTAACATGATCTACATTTAGAAGTATTGAACAACTCAGGACAGAGCCCTGTTTCTTGAAGCCATCTACTTTTCAAGTGAGCAAAAGTATATGAAGAGACATTATTAATGTTATAGTGGAAAATAATATTTAATAATTGATGACATAACCCTTACTTGCAAAAATTACATTAAGCTTGCACCCCATTGACTTTACCAGACGGTTGCATTCTTCATTTGAAATACTTTTCCAGGCCTTGACTGCCACCTCTTTTTGGAACAGTGGATTGTGATACATTCACCCCTGCCCTGTATAGTGATGTCACTGGCTGTTGTCTTCGGGTGTTCCTTTACAGCTCTCACAATCAACTGCTGTTGATACCCTTGGCCAACTTGTTCGATGTACATCAGTTTCTTTCTTTTTTACAACATTCCAAATTGCTTGTGCGCATGTGAAATCCAAAGCACAAAACAAGCACTACAGTATTTCATGTTTAAGCAATGAATTTAAAAGCCTAAGGCTACACCAAAGCAACTAGAAACACCCATCAGTCACTGTTCCAGTATTTTTGCTCACTTGTGGCTCCAAACAAAAGGTACTCTGTCCTGAGTTGTTTAACAGATCTCGATGTAAATACCATGAAATCAGCTCTTTTGTCTCATAGCTGTATTCATCTTTTGATTTGAAATCCAAATGTCTTCGGTATACAGCAAAAAGAAATTAATTGACCATGCTGTTCTAATACTTTTGAAGGGGACTGTATTTTGCTGTGTTTTTCTTCCGCTCCTGCATTGTGTCCGTGCGACATGTCCACAGACCGCATTGTGGCAGCCCGTCGATGCCCAGTACATCCAAGAAGAAACTCAAGTTCACCTCTTTGTTCCTGCAAACAGCTCAGCCACAGTCAAGGCTTTGCTGCAGCGACATAACATAGCACATGAGTACGTCTACACACAGACACATACACACACACACACACACTCACACACACACACACACACTCACACACACACACACACACTCACACACACACACACACACTCACACACACACACACACACTCACACACACACACACACACTCACACACACACACACACACTCACACACACACACACACACTCACACACACACACACACACTCACACACACACACACACACTCACACACACACACACACACTCACACACACACACACACACTTGCTTTTGTCAATCTGTGTGTGTGTTTTTTTTTTTTATAAGAGTGTTACTGGACAACACCAATCATCTGATTGAAATGCAGACGAGGAACGATTCCACCGACCCGAGAAGCACCACGAGTTTCTATGAGCAATATCACAGCCTAGAGGATGTATATGGCTTCCATCACACACTGGGTTCCTTCATTAGGCAGGAATGACCTGCTCTCTTTTTTTTTGTTGTTGTTGTTGTCTGCTTTTCAGATCTATTATTGGATCAACAGGACCGCCCAGGACAACCCAAACACAATCCAAACCATTCTTCTGGGTTCCTCATTTGAGAAACGACCGCTCTACGCTCTGAAGGTGCACATGTTCAACTATTAATCAAACGCAACAACTCTGATCAGATAGGCATAGAGATGAGTTTCTGAACATGATGCTGGATCCTATCCAATTGAAACTTGGTTTAGCTTTTGGCCCTCCAATTTTTGACACCATTAATGTGTGGATTTTCCCCAACATTTAACAGTATCATCCTGATAAAATAGTAACAATATTTTATTCCACTCTCAGATCTCACTGAACAGTGAGAATAAGAAAGCCTTGTGGATTGACTGTGGGATCCACGCCAGAGAGTGGATCTCTCCTGCCTTCTGCTTGTGGTTTGTACAATATGTGAGTACATCTGGTTTGTAAATTCTGTGTGTTGGTCCAGAAATCACTTGGATGGGATGTTCTGTTCTCCGCAGTCCTTAGCTTTTTACAAGCAAAACCAGGACATCACTGACATTTTAGACAACATGGATGTTTACATCCTGCCTGTGATGAATCCTGACGGGTACCTTTACACATGGACTACGGTAAAAGTGCATCCGGCAGCAGTGGACAATCATTTATCGAAGATATTCAATTCAACTCTGCATATTTTTTGTGTGGCTCAGAACCGAATGTGGAGGAAGAGCCGATCAATCCACCCAAGTAGCTATTGTGTTGGTGTTGACCTTAACAGGAACTTTGACGCAAACTGGTGCAGTAAGTCTCCTTTAGGCTCAAACACATACGTACACATGTGGACAAAATTCTTGGCACCCTTCTAGTATAAAAAAGAAATTTAATTTTTAAAAATTGTTACTGAAGTAACTTGAAACTAATACCTGAACAGATTAATTTAAAAATCTAATAATAATAATAATAATAATAATAATAATAATAATACTGGCCTGGACACACAACTCTCATTAAAAGCCCGAAGAATGTTTGCTTCCCTCAAAGAACAAAATATGAAGTATCAAAACCATCATTTATGTCCAAAGTTGGTTTGTTTTGTTTTTGAAAACAGTTATGCCACTGGGATTTTGTTCAAGTTCAAGTTCAAGTCAACTTTACTGTCAAATGTGCTCTATGTGCCACATACAGCACAGATGAAATTTCTTTCCTCTCAACCACAGGAGAGAGAGGAGCCGCTGCGGGTGCCCGCGCCACCATCAACAGAACAGTTAACATAAAATGACAAACTAATACAACACAACATATACGACACAGACAGTCGTGCAATCTTAACCATTTTCCTGCATATCCTTGGGTGTTTGGAGCAGTCATAGATGAAAGAGATAATCAAAGTGTCCTTTCACCAGTGGATCAAAGACGTCATGCTGAAAATGTGCACACGTCTGCTACAAGCTAAGTTTATTATTTAAGTTTATTCAGTTTATTTATTGAATGGAAGGGTGCAAAAAATATTGTCGGTCTGTGTAGGCTGTACAGTGTTTTCAAAAGCCTTGGATTTGAGGCCTGTGTTTGACCACCAGCGGAGGGAGCCTCCAATGATCCCTGCAGTGAGATCTACTGTGGTGCCTTCCCTGAATCGGAACCCGAATCGGAGGCCGTAGCCAACTTTCTGCGCAGTAAGAAGGACACCATCGAGCTTTACCTCAGCATTCACGCCTACTCTCAGATGCTGCTTTTCCCATACTCCTGCACCTTGGATGAGGCCCAGAACCACAATGAGCTGGTGAGAACTTCTCCCCAGCGCAAGACAGAGGCACAGTTTTATTCAAGCCGATGTCAGACGACATGAATGCATCCTGATTTTGCTCCGGCCGACATGTCACAGAGAAACGTCGTACCTCACAGCCGATTTTGAGTTTTCGTGATGCATCGTAGCCGGTGTAGTCTGACATACTCAACGAGTGGTCGTGAGGGGTTTAAGACGCTTCACGATCACGATGACGAAAGTCTGGTACTTCTGAATTTTTATTCATCTTGACGCATCGTGTGACATGTCCTACGTCATCTTCCATTGGTTTGTCGACATTGAACAATAGGAAGACAGTGGCCTCCTGGTTTTGACAAGAGACTGGACGTGGCGCACACCATCACAATTTGGTGTGGACAGTGACTTGAACACAGGGGGAATATTGGAGAGTATACGTAGCATTTCAGCTCGTGCTGCCTTTACTAACTGCAAAGGTTGCAGCGGATTGGTAAACGTGTCATTAAATAAATTCGGTACCTCAAGTTCTTTTGCAAAATAAACAGTCCATCCAGTCCTCTCCCCACCATTTTTTTTTTTTTTTTTTTTTTTTTTTTTTTTTTTGGGACACATTTTTGGATTTTAACTTTTTCAA